GCATCTGGCCCTTCCTGGCAAGCCTCAGTGTCACAGCAGATGTGCAGGGTTGGAGGGAACCAGGCAGCCTTGATGGGAGCAGCTCAGCAGAGAAATCCACATTCACATCGGTTCACTGCACCTAAAGCCACTGCCCTGTCATGCTCTGTGCGACAGAGACAAACAGAGCAGAGAACTGTGGTCTGGTACAGAGGTGAAAGGACGTAGGAAACGGTTTGCCCATAGTAAGGAAACATTTCAACTGAATTAATGCATCTTGGTTTGTGTCATGTAAATGAATTCTTGGTATGATAGAATGAAGAGCTGTGTTCTTTCTGCTGATCCAGCCAACACCTTCCACCTGTGCTGCTTTCTGAAATTCTGGGACTGTCTTCTTGTAGAGACAAAGATTTTCTGCTAAAATGGCAGTCTGTTTCCCTTGGGGCAAAGAAGTATTGCAAACATAGGCTTATATCCATCTCACCTGCTCACCAGGGTTGAATTTAGATTGCGGTTGTCTCAGACTAGCTTTGTGACTAATGGGCTGGAACGGGCACTTCTACAGGGAGGCCACCACATACGCTTTGTGGGGCACTTTTCATCACTGTGGAGAGAGCGCTGGGCGAACGGGCTTCTTTCGTTCTTCAGTCAAGTGCCAAAAGACAGGCTGATGAACATGAGCTTTAGCCTGTGAAGGTGTTGACCTCCTTACACTTTGTGAAAATGGGTTTGACAAAATTCACTTCTATCTGTTTACCTTCCTGCAACACTGGGACTCTCTGGGACTGGGAAACTCTGGGACTGACTCCTTGTAGAGAAAAAGATTTTCTGCTAAAATGGCAGTCTGTTTTAATAGGACATTTGGGTGACATAAATGAGTAATGGTAAAATCAAATTCCTTTGCAACTGTGAGTTTTCCCTTTTGCTCCTTTTTTCACACCACACCACGCCTTGAGCCTCTGCTGCAGCCTGAGACCTGATCCTGCTGTGTTAGTGTGTTAACCGTGGGCAGGAGGAAAAAGAAAAAAGATTTCACTAAAGCTAAATGAAGCTGGGGCGGGGGGAGTCGGGGAAGTTTGGTTTTACTTATTTCTGCATTTGCTCTGGCAAGGTGATACATTTGCTTGTTTCCAGAAACATATTCTTTCCTTATCAGTAATTCAACAAGACACAGTCTATATTTCTCTGTCTCTAAACCGTGCCATTTTGGTCATTCTTCTTCAGGAAAATCCCAGTAGAAGACAAATCTGAAGTGCAAGCAACGGAAACTAAGACACCTCCAGCAGAAGTCAAGACGGTCCCTAATGAAGCCACACAAACAAATGAAAATGAGAGCAAAGCATGATCAGCGACAGATGAAAACAAATGACAGAACAACTTCACCCAAGCATTTAAAACACAAAACACATCTCATTCCTCTAGTGTCTGTTGCCTTTTTTTAAAAAACAAACAAAACAGAAAATGCATAAATGGGGGGAGGGGGGGAATCTCTCTTTTTCCTTTCTTTTCTTTTTTCTTTTATTTTTTTTAAAGATTTCTAGAAAGGTTCTATTTGTTGTGCACTTGCTTTTAAAAAGTAATAATTTTAAAAACAGGGTTAAACCCGTAACCAAATCAGGGCTTAGCTGACCCTGTGTATATTCAAATAAGCAACATTGCAAATGCTATTTGCAACGTGGTTGGGAAGCTCAAAATCAACTAGTAAAAAAGACAAAAAAAAAAGACCCTGTTCTTTCCTTCATTAGAATAGCAGATATAACCACTGTACTACTGGGTACGGCTGGTACTTAATGAACAAAGTCCACAATTTATTTTTATACTTTTCAGTCGAGTTTGAAATATGTAAAGCCTCATAAATAAGTTATAATTTCTGTTCACCTCGTATTTGTTCAGTATGCAAAGTGTCTCGAGCTCTTTGTGACTGAATTCTGTTCTCCACGTTAGACATTTATTTGGGTTTAATTATTATCTTTTTTTAGGAAGAATGCCAAAATTGCAGCTCCGGGGATATATTTCAATTTGCAGTATTCAGACTCCACATTTCTTTAAATTTTACGTTAATTTTTGCCAAGTTCTGTTCTTTCCAATGTTTACAATTGACAATTTTTTTAAACTTTTGTTGTGTTTAAATTTATGTGTAAAATAGCTGCCTTTTTTTTTTTTTTAAGTAAATACAGTCTACAGATACTAGGTTAGCAGCATGCTTGCTTTGCAAAGGGAGACATTTTAAAACATGGATGTTTACAGTAGTTGTTTCCCCTTTATCTTAATTATTGTTATTATTATTATTGTTATTATTATTATTATTATTTCTTACTGGAGTAAGAAGAAAAGTAATGCTGGGGTTTGGTTTGGGTTTTTTGGGTGGGTGGGGGGGTATTCAAACCACTTGTCTCCAGTCAAGGTCTTTACCCAGCAATCCACATAAACACACACTTGGAATGAGAGAGTTGCTGGATAGAGTCCTTCTATACTTAAATTTCTTTTAAGTCCCTTGCTGGACCTGGGCCTGACTGCATAAGAGAAATATCATCTCTGCTTTTTTAGGACATTCTCCCCTTTCCTTCATGGAACCTTCCCGGAGCTTTGAGAAGCAGAAGGGAGATTGTACAGTTAGGGCTGGTCTGGTCTCATTTCAGATGTTTGACTGTATCAGTTCCTCCTTAGTATGTCAGTAAATACCATTTCCTTTGACCCTAGAAATCTGATTTAGAAGCAAAGACTTTTTGCCAGGGTGCTTGGCAGCATGCAAGACCCCTCCTGCAGAGCCAGCTCCATCAGCGGTTGGACCAGATGATCGTTGCAGGTCTTTTCCAACTGAACTATTCTATTCTGTCACATCATGTGTATTGAGTCATCTGTGTATGCTCTGCAGAATCAAAACCATGAAAGCAAGAGCAAGTGCTTGGAAATCAATGCCAGGACTCCCGTTGACTTCCCTTGTCTTGCCATTGTGCTTTCACAGTTGGAAAAGGGGGCTGATGTAGCAGATGTATTACCATTACGGGAGGTTATGATTGGGATTCATGGAGTAGCACTGAGATTTTGGGGTGAAAAGAAAGGAGGCTTGAGTGGAAGGAAGGCAGAGGTATATTAGGGGAAGACCAGCCCATTGTATAGAGATGTTCCTTCTGTTGGGGTTTTAGGGGTTTTTTTTCTTGGTTTTTTTTTTTCTTCTGTTTTCTTTTTTATTCTACTTTAGATCTGCAAGCTTGTGCACTGTGGGTGCGTGACTATTTTAGTGTGAAACGTGTTTTTTGTCATAGTATTGAAATAATAAAAGCTTCAACATAGTTTGGATGTGGAAGGTGTAGCGATAGTTCAGATTTGAAAAAAGAATATATTCAGGAATAAAAAGAGAACAACTCTTAAAAGGAACAGAAACCTTTAAATGAAAAATCAAACTGAGCTGACTATGGCATCCATTCCATTGCGCTAAGGTGATGAACAGAAGGATGATGGGGGTTGGGTAGACTGCAGTTTGGCTCAGGTAAGTTGAGCCACTTTTATCAGTGTATTCTTATAATTATGCAGTCTTTTACAGCAGCATCACATAATTTCAAACTGTGAAAAATAATAGTCTTGTCATTTGCTAAGTGTGGGGGTTTTTGCATTTTCTCCTTAGCTCCTGGGATGCAAACGGAGGATGACTGGATTTGTAGGCATCGACACTCATGCACTACCCATCCTGAGCAGGATATCGGGGCAGGGTGTGTCCTCACTTCAAAGCCTTGTGTCAAATTCGGCCTTTGCATGACCAATCACAGCACCGTCAATATAATTATGGGGAAGTTTGGCCCAGGGTCCCTAGGATTTTTTTTCTAAGGATTCAATCCATATAAATGCAGCAAAAAAAAATGCTACCATGGTCTGTCTGTGGTTGGGGAGAGTCCTCGGGGCAGCAGAAGACTAGTGGGCAGGCAGTGTGTACCTCCATTCCTGTGGATGAGCACAACAATTTGTTCCTTGTTTCTGCAAAGTTTTTGACTGCTTTTGTCATCTCTCTGTTATACCTTCTGAGTTCTAACTCACCGAGAGCTGAGCAACTGATAAGAAACAAATGCTGTATATGCTAAGAACCAGAAACGCGTCCAGTGAAACTGGCCAGCACCTGTTCGGTGAAAATTGGAGTGACTATCACCTGGACTGGCATTTCTGTCCTAAAAGGTAACCAGCTCAATGCCCGATCCAACGCCCAGCTGCATCATTAGAGAATACCCTTCTGAATGCAGTGGGTTTGTGTTGAGATCGATGGAGCGAGCACCGTTCCAAGGCAGAAGTGAACCCGGTGACTGCCTGAACACTAGGAGTGTCCATGCAGCTCTTTTTTGATGCCCTCGTGACACCTCCCAATACACGTAGATTAATTCATAGGGTTGTTTTATACTCACCCTCAGTGGAGAAGAATTTCTTCTAATTTGGAAGTACCCCATTTCCAAAATAGCTTAGGCTTTACTGCTTTTACTTAAACCTTTGAAGAGGGACCAACCTGATGCCATTTACGCTGTATATGTTTATATATGTATCCATGCCATACATATATAGCTATATGGCAAAGCAGACCGATCAGCTTCTAGTTGTGGAGTGATTACATTTCATGCTGCACCATACGTAAAGATGATAATAGTGCATCCAGTCGTTCAGCTTTTAGAGTGGAGTTTTATTTTCACACTTTTCTATGGAGCCTTCAAACCCCAGATTTTCACACTAGGCTGTTTTGATAGTTGTTCTCAGCCCCTCCATTGACATCCTTACCCAGCATTCCCTACTTTCGGGGGCCTTCTATCTTGTTAAAAAAACAAAAAAACAAAAAATCTTTTTACCAAGTGAAACAGCGATTCCACCTTTATTCCCATTCTCACTGGTGTAAATACTGATACTAACTGAGGATTTTGACTTTGCATTCTGTCAGAATACTGTGTTCAAATAAAAATTACAAAAAAAAAAAAAAAGCTCCTGTGTACAGTCTGCCCTTCTTTAGATGCTCTGCTCGGTCCTGTGTGCAGACGTGGATTCCCAGGGCTGCATTTGCACGTGAGCTTAACACGGAGTGAGCAGTCCCGTTGTGGCGTGCCCACAGCCTGGGTTAGGCATCCGTCCGGGGCTTCAGGCTATAGACAAGCAGGAAAGGCAACTGTCTGCACAGGGATGTCAGCGAAGCTCATGGTTGAAGCTGGTGCATCTCTAAAGGGTGGCAGAGGGCTACTGTAGCCTTTCCAGGCTTCAGATGTGCAGAAAGAACAGCTGCCAGCACCAGACAGGCTCTTCCAAAGTGCTGAGTGTCACAATAAGGAGAATTTTTAGTTTGTTTCTCTGTCCCACTGTAGATAATTCCCTTGAGATAAGGAACACAAATGCAGTTTCATGTGCACTGAGAATCAGGGGTGGCTGGACTTCCCATGAAAATGTGCTCCTCTGTTCAATGGCTATGAAAGGGGGGTGGCTATGTGTGTGTGCATGTGAGTGTTGGCTTTAAAAGGTGTCCTTAACCCATCCTGAATTAGGTCCCTGAACTTGATTAATATGTGATGAATCTAACTAAATTTAATTCTGTCCTAAGCATTGATCTCGCAGGACATGGAAGGGGAAATGAGAGCTCAGATACCTATCAATACTTGGGTGCCAGCATTGTTCACAGAAAAAGAACAAAATAAATGTACTGAGCTAAATTACTTGTTATCTGAAGAGGATAACCTTTCTGCTGCCTCTCCAGCACTTTGCCCTTTATTCTTGACTGCTGTTGACACTGAAACAGCAACTCTTATTTTCCACAGCTGCATTATTATCTTCATCCTGCCCACAGAGGCTCAGGTCCTGCAGGCTTCTCTTCATGTGTCTCTGGCTCACTGGTGCAGCTTGTCACCTCACTGCTGGAGGCACCGGCACGTCAGAGACCCTCCAGCAGCAATGCTCCCTGGCTGCTGCCTACGCTGTAAGTTATAACCTTATAGGAACACGTGAACAGCATTGGGAGGGAGCAGCAGCTTTCCATGCAGCGCTAGCAAAATGATGCTTTTTCTTCTGTAGCCTTCCTGCAGAGCCTGATGGATGGGAGAAATAAACAAAGGATCTGATGGCAGAATGAAATGCAGCTTCTGGTACGGAGAGAGAAAGGGAAGCTGAACAGGAGGAGCAGAAGTAAAGATGCAGGTAAAGATTTTGATGCAGGTGGCTGGGAGTAAAGGCAGGATCTGGAGATAAGAGATGCTGCATCTTTAAGATGAAAGGCTTTGCTCTCCAGGCCACTGAGCGAAGGGAGGAGAGTGCAAAGCTGGGAGTGCGCTGGAGGCTGAACTGCAGCAGCCAGTCCACCTGATGTGAGGGGAGAGACTACAGGAACAGCGCGTGCTCCACTTTCCACCCATTTGGAGGGAGTTTATCTGTGCAGATTCACGGCCATTGGAGAGAACCTCTCTGACTGCCCCTCCCTTGTCTCCATCAAGCCTCTCACGATGCCATTGCGGCAGAGGCAGGCGCACAGTCTCCCTCCACCGCTGCACAGTCTTTTAATGAACCAACAAGCCGAGCTCTTTCTACTGTGTGTGGTTTACTTGTAACAGTTTTTATTCTCTTAGACTTCAAGTTCATCCCCACACCGCAAGTGTAGCTTTACTGCCCAAATGAAAGCTACACTGCTAAGCATCCCAGTGACACAGCTATTACCTCCTGAGTATCTATAACTGGGCACCACAGACATGGGATTTGAAACAGCTTCATTAGAGGAAAAAAACCCACCTTTGGGATGGAGGCTTAGCTGATCAAGGGCAGAGCTGTCTTGCAGCAAAGAGAGAGAAAGGAGCTATTTTGTTTTATGCATGAGGAATGGGGAAAGGAATCTTCTGGCAGTTCCTACAGCAAAGGAGGGTTTGGAAGGGACAGGGGATCCCGGCTGCCTCTTGAGTCACGCAGCCCAGCGCCTTGTTGGCACACATAGCTCAGGAAAGCATTTCTCCTTCTGGGAAGTGTGGTAGGACATTGAAGAGGAGGCAGATGAATGTGGCTGTGGTTTGTAACTTCACAGTGAGATTTCTAATTTCACGCCCAGCAGACACCAGCGTGGCCTGCTTTTCTTGGTATCCCTCGCCTTAGGCAACGCTGCCGTTTTGAGACTTCCGAGGCCCCCCCTGCCTCCGCTCTGCCTCTGTTTCTCGCCTTTCTCTCCTAAAACGGCTGGGTTATAATGTGTCCAGAATTAAAATAGCCTGGGAGTGCAGCAGGGACTCACTGATGCTCTGACTCCCATTAGTGGCTGACAGCCTCCATTAACTGCCACCTCTAATCTTCTGGTTCTGAAAGCATAGCCCTAGAGCGTCTCCCAAAAGTGGTGACAAGGATCCACCTGGCCACTGGCACCATGTATGTGCATGCCCATGTCCGTGCTTTGTGTGAAGTGCTAGCATGAGGGCAAAATGGATGTTCATCGATACTGCTCTGAACCACAAGTCTGACATATCCCAGCAGGGCCACATGGTGCAAAGGAGGGCTAGGATTCTCTTGCAAGGGTGACTGGTCATCAGAGCCTGAAAAGGCTGAAAGACACATCCCTCAACTATTGCATGTGCTGCTAGAGATCAGCCAGCCCCTGTGCTTCCTGTTCTGCGGCCTCCTCCACCCGGACAGACCGTGCATCCACAGCACGGCTGGATGGGCAGCTCAGATTTGGCAGTGCACAAGCCTGGCTGGCAGGAGCACAGAGGCTGATTTGAGGACACAAGCAGCAAAACAGGAAAAAGGCCTGAAATCACAGCTTTGTTCCCAGCTGGCCAGCTGCTTTTTGTGCTGGAGGATGGTGCCACCCTCTGGCTGTCTCGCTGGTGACAGGCTGCGTGTCCCACCCCGGAAAGGGCTGCGCTGGCTCCCATGAAGCCTCCCTGGGCATCAGAACCCCCGAGACGCTGCAACCTCCTAGGACCCACGTCCCAGGAACACACCACCTTGTCTGGAGGATACAGAAATCCTCTGTACTGTCAAGTGGCCGCTTCTCAGATGCTGCTGAGACCCTCTGATCCCTTTAATGGGAAGAAGTGCCTGTTTTGAATGAGGGTTTAACCCTCAGCAAACTCTGGTCTTTCTCCTTCCTAATCAAAAATCGATTGAGACAGCCCCAGTCGTCTATAAAGGGTATCTTAAAAAAATAAAAACAATCCAATTCTGGTATTAAACTCAGGGCAATAGGGGCTAGAACCATTGGTTGGGGATGAGTGTTCGCGTTTCTTCTTTCAGGTTCCCTCTCCCAGTTGGTAGGTCTGCTAAAATTCAGCTAAGCTAATCTTTATGTTAACCAAAGTCATCCCTTCAACTGATTTTTTGCCCATGCTACCCCATTCCTATCCCCTGTGTATGAACGCAAGATGACCGCAAGCTTTAAAAAAAGCCAGATGAAAAGGACCTGAAACGCTTTTCGGAACAATGACAGGCCAGTGCCTGGGCTGATGCACTCCCTGCTGCGAGATGCCAGCAGGGCAGCTTGTCTCCTGACTGCCGAATCAAACCCAGATGTGGGTATTGATAAAACAACAAGCAGGAGGGGAGCGGCAGCAGATCTCGCTTCTGCTTTGCATTTGTTCAGGCTGCAAGGCAAGGGTGGACCTCTTTAGCAGAGGAAAAGGAGCACATTCAGCTCAGCGACCGGTGAAGCGTTTCTCTAACTTACCAAGCCAAAAATTAAGCAAGGAAAGGCAGGATGAAGATAGCTGCCCTCCACCAGCTCTGGACTAGAAGGCTCTCTGCTGTGCTATAGATATTTCTCCACGGGTCACCTGGAAGGCCTTTGCTAGAGGGGCCCTCTGTAGCCCCTGTCAGCCATTCCACTGCAGTAGAAAGACAAGCGGTTCTTGACATCAGAGGGATTTAATCTAGGAGTGACAGCAAGGAAGAAAAGCCACTGCCTGCTAATGCTCTGACGCACACTGCAGCTGTAAAAGCATCCTTTTCCCCTGCAGTAGCATGGCTCTAAAAGAGCATTCAAGGGAAATCTGCAAAAAGAGGAGGTAGGGATGTCCTTTATGCAGCTCTGTACCAGTGCTACGGCTTCCCCCGTATCTGTGCTCTTATCGCTCCTCGGGCCGCGAAATGGCGGCCAGCGAGGCACCGCCCCTTCGTTTGCATAACCACGCCCCCGCCCCGCTCCCTCTGGCGCTGCGTCAAGAGCGTGGCCGGCCGGCGTTGTCTCCACGGCAACGGCGGGGCGGCTGCGCTTCTTCCGGCTCGGCGGGTTCCCTCCCGGCCGGTGTCCCCGCGGCCATGCCGACCGACCGTGAGCAGGAGGAGGATTTCCAGCAGTTCCTCCGCCGTGTGGACGATGTCGGTAAGCGTGCTGTGGGGCCGGGGCGGAGCTGGCCGCCCCTGGCGGGGCACGGGGCAATGCGGCAGGCCGGGGCGCGTGGGACATTCCGGTTTTCTTCAGTTAGGGTGCTAGGGGTGGAAAGGGAAAGGGGGTGGACAAAGGAAGGCAGAAAAGGAATGGAAAAGAGGAAAACTCCCGCTCCGAGTTTGTTTTGTGTGGAGTCTCCTTATGAGCTCAGGTGTGGTCAGGCTTTGCAGGTGCCACGACTTGCTTTCTAAACCTGGGAAATTTTCTAACACAGAAGCTATAGGTAGCTCTTGGAAGTGAGATGAAGTAGTATTTGTAAATGTTTCCGTTTATAAAGGCCATCCTGGTCACAGGTGCCTTCAAAAACGTATGTCATTCGAGATGCAACTGAACTCCTTGTCCTCCCAGTCATGTGTGTATATCTCTTTTTTTGTCCTATTAGCAAACTTAGTGCAAAGCTTGAATTCCGCAGACCCAGATGTCAAGGAAAAAGCCATCGCTGAGGCAGAGAAAAGGCTCCATGAGCAAGAAAAGAGCAAGGAGGAAGAAAGCAAGACTGTGGTGAACAGAACAGTCATCAACACGCAAGCTTCAGTAAGAGTTTTTTTTTTTCCCTTGAAAGTTAGAGCAGTTTAGGTCTTTTAAATAATACTAAGTCACATTCTTTGTCCAGGAGAAAAAAATCTTGAATGAAACTGACAAGTATGTTCTGAATTTGACTTTGTTTCTTTCACTAGTCATCTTATTGGGTTATCATACTCGATGACGTACTGTCTTTGCCTAAGACTACTAATAACACAGAACTGGATTTATCCACGTTGTACGTAAGCACTGAGTTGCCATAACTTGTAGCTTTTGCCTGTGCTTCAGGAACTTGAGCAAAACTAGTTGGAGACACAAGAGTCTCTTTGCTAATTTCATTAAGCCTTGATTCCCACAGTACGGTTTGGATTTCAGTGATGTGCCTTGTTAAAGGTAAGAATGGAAGCTTTCTGGTAGTGTAAAAAATAATTAAGTCCTTACCATCCTTTGTTCAAGTGTCATTTTAATACTCCTGATATGCATCAATCTGGATATTTCAGAGGCCCTGTGGCTTTGCACAACTTAAGCAAGTGTTCCTTTGCTGCTATGGTTTTTACTAAAACGTCTGTGTGAGTACATGTATATGCTGTGTTTCTCCTTTTTTTAGGACACGGCAAGTGCAGAGGCAGTGAACAAAGGTAGGACAGTGCTCCCTCTAGCACTTAGCATCTCTTCGATCTGTTTTAGCAGAGATGGAGTAAGGCTTGCTGTTACTTCCCACAAGACCTAATTCCTGCCAAAGTCAAAGCTAACTTTTCTAGTATTTAAATTAAAATTCAGTTAGATCTGGGAACACATTCAAGGATCTTACCAGTATGGCTGTACTTGTTACCTTCGTAGGAAGGAAGCTTGTTGGTGTAGTTTGTTAATCATATTCTGACCTCTCATCTTAAAAGTTAGTTTTCTGAAGTTAAAAGGAAACAAATTTATCTCTAGAGCTGAGATACTTCATAGAAAGTATGCAAATCCCGAGTGGCAGCCTAGCCTTTATGTGTAATAGCTTGTCATTCGTGTTTCAGTTAAATTGTTGAAGTATCCCCTTACTATTTTCTTTGTAGAGGAATGCCTCAGAAATACCTTAGAAATTACTTTTTTCTCACCTGTAGATTGATTTTAATGAAGCTTCTTCTTTTTTCTTTTTCTTTTTTTTTTTTTTTTTTAATAAAAATCCCCCCCATCCCCTGGCCCAAAGGCCTCCTCTGGCCCAGCTCCAACAGCTCCATGTCCTTCTGATGTTGGTGGCCCCAGGGCTGGACACAGTGCTCCAGCTGGGGTCTCACCAGAGCGGAGCAGAGGGGCAGAATCCCCTCCCTCGCCCTGCTCAACATAGTATTTTTTGACGCTCTTTTGATAGACAGCTATTGATTAACTGAACAGATAATGAGATTAACAGAAGTGAAGCAGAATGAATTTGTGGGAGGTAATGTCTTTTGTCAAGAAGATATTTAGTTTCCGTACCAGTCACACCTCTGGCAACATCAGTGAAGGCAGCAGTCCTCCTCCAGCTGATACTGCAGGCGAGTCGTACAATCTAGAACAACTCTCTAGGTGTGAAAAGTTAAGAAGGTCACAGAAAATAGATATAATTGACCTGGGTTTTCACTTCACAGAGTGAAAAGTTCATATACACATTTTGATAAAGGCCCTGAAGGCCTATATATAAACCAGATAGTAGATAAGTGATCCATACGACAGATATCCAGCACTGACACATGACATAAGGCAATTACAGAAGTACTAAATGTCAAACTGTTTAATGCTATTCTTTTAGATAATGATTGTTGTTGTAAATAAACCAATTTTTCAAGACTAAAGGTCAGTAGGTCATAAAATTTGATAACTGTGATTTCTTATCAGCAGCCAAAAGAGAAGATAAAAAATGCCTCTTTTTTTTTTTTTTTTTTTTTTTTTTAACTAAAATGCCACCAACTCTCCTGGCTCAAAGATGACTTTCTGGCAATTTTGGAAGCAGATGCAAAAGAACGCGCTAAAAGAAGGAAGAGAAATGAGTGCTTAGCAAATGGTAATTGCTAAAGGGTTTTTTATCTAATGCCTTCACAAACTACTTAGCAGGAACTAGGCTGATTTAAGAGGCTTTGGCCTACTCTGTTATTGCCATTCTTATGCACACTGAGCGAGTGCTTTGGTTATCTGAGGCACAGCATTGATTAGGTGGATGTAACAGGTTTATATACTCATAAAGTTTGCAACCTGTTCTTTTCCATACTACCCTGCTTCTGATAGGGAGGGAGCGAGTTTGAGTATTTGAGAGGTGGGCTGGGCAAAAAGAAATACTCAGTTTTCGCTCAGAAAGAGGGATCATGTGCACTGAATAGCTCAGAAGTCACATGCAAATTGTGGCTAATGAAGACAGCTGCAGTGAAGCTGGACTGGAATTTTGATGACTATTCCAACAGGAGAATATGCCCCCTGTTTCTGCAGTCACCATTTGGGGAAATAAAAGCCAAATGTCATTTTTTTAATGCACATACGTTCTTTTGCAGCTCTGAAAGAGAAGGGAAACGATGCCTTCAGGAAAGGAGACTATGTCATAGCCATTCAGAGGTACACTGAAGGTCTGGAAAAACTGAAAGATAAGCAGGAACTTTACACAAACAGAGCACAGGTCAGCATGTGGAAATGAGCTACCACTATACTGTTACTTTGCCAGGATACAATCCAAAAATGATTGTTCTGTTATCTCAGTGAATTTCATAAAAGGTAACATTTGTTGCATTACAGAGAAACTTAAAAATGGGAGAAAGCAACTTTTCCTGGCGGCCCTCTGCTACCAGGAATTAATGCGTTCTGTTTTGCTGCTGTATAGTCAACAGTAACTTTTTATCGCGGTTGGAAGTTAACAGCAAGGTAGTGCAGACTGGAGGTTTTAATCTTTTTATAAACTTAACAAAAGAGTTGCACAAAGGAGATCATTAGAGGTGTTACTTACTTCCCTCACAATTGATGTGTCTGACTTTTTTAATTTTATTTTTTTTAAACTAGCTAATGTTTGTATAACAGTTAGTGGAAGTTCATTGAAGTATTCTAATTCTCCTGCCTGGACTCTCTTGGTTTTATTTCAGGCCTACCTGAAGATGCATGAATATGAAAAAGCCATTGGTGACTGTGAATGGGCTTTAAAGGTAATTTCAGCATTCTGTCTTTTTTGATCAAGTGCTCCTGGAAGGTCGGTTTCTGTGTAACTGATGATATGGAGACAACTTGCCAATGGAAATGGAAGAATGTGGTGGTGTTGCACAGGTTCCTGCATCCTGAGTTCAAGTTAACTATTTCAGTGCTGCCGGTGTGCAGAATCTTTTCTAGCTCTTAAGAGATTTAATTATAAAGCTTGTTACAAGCAATAATAAACTATTAACTGCACGTGTTGGCACACAGTATCTTGCCCGTCCTTCTGAAAAAGGAAAGGGGACTCTTCAAGCTTACAAAGATCAGATCTGGTGGGAAAAGCAAAGATTATATCAAATGCTATAGAGCAGAATCCAGATTCAGTTGTGTTACATCAGTGATGGCCACAATTTACAGGTTATCAATAATATTGGCCACATCACTTAAAGAAATCAATACTTTTGATACACAATTGAACTGGAAAAGATGACCTCATCCGTTAGTGTTGAGCTAGATGTTTCCTCAATTTTTAATTTTTTTTCTAATTTTTTTTTTCTGTGCACAGCTAATGAAAATTACTGCTTATTTCATTCCTGGCAGAACTAATCAAAAGACGTACAGATAGTCTGTTGTTATAAAAGTTCTGTGGTTCTGGACTAGTTGATGCAGGCCTTAATGTTGCCTAATTGTATGAGCCTGTATTGCCTGAAGTGCAGTTTTCTGGGAAGGATTTTAGCACCAGCTGCTTTTCACCTTTAACCACACCAAAGCCTGTGTTCCTTGCATAGGGAAGGAAAGTTGGTACTTGGAGCTAATAATTCAGCATGTAAATTTTAGATGCCTTTAGCAGATAGTATGAGTACCCTCTTTTGTGCTTACAAGTACTTTGGGTAACTTAACTATTAATCAAAGGCTGGAAGAAATATTTAAGGGTTACAATTTCTAAATACTTAATTAATAATTCCTTTTTTTAACACAGTGCAATGGAAAGTGTATTAAAGCCTATTTTCTGATGGGGAAAGCTCACCTGGCACTTAAGCACTACAGTGAGGTAAGCTAACTAAATCTTGTGGCCGTGGGACCATGTTTTTTTGTTCTTTTGACGTGATGTTGTGGGTGAGAGGGAGAAATTTGTAGTCTCAAGAACTGGACAAATGAAAGTATGTTGAGCTTTTAGATTTGAGAGAAACTTTCTGTGCTTTGCGAAGACTAATAATTCTAAAATCAAGTCTTTCCGCATCTTAGTAAAATAACCGTAGAGCATGGACAATACATGTCTACATGAAGTGCACTTTGAGGGGTTCTTGACACCTTGGTCTGTGAAGAAGGTTCTTTGTTACAGGCTTGGTGATCAGTTTAATTCTAAGCATATGCTCAAGATACACAAAATGCACGAACAGAAGATAAAGATACAAGATGCACAGGTCTAATTGCTGGTGATAGTTACAGTTCCTGCAGTTTTAGTGCTGTGCCTCGTTTTCTGTTTGCTTTGCTCTTTTTGTTCCTACTAGTACATTCCTAGGTTTTTACTTGAAAATTTCCTTTTAGTTTCAAATAGCGGGCACATGTAGGAACTGAGAATAATATTCAACTTACGCTTTTAATTATGAAAGTTTTGACTGGTATGTCTCAATATTTTATTTTCCATACTTAAGTACTGTGGCCCAAGAACTTTTCAGTTTAAATGAGATGACTCTGACTAGGATATAATATTTATCATCTTCCCATTTTTATTTTAAATTGAGAGCCCAATTCTTTTCTCTGTTAAGTCTAGGCTGTGTTATGAGAAGATCTTACAAATTAATCCCCAAAAGGAAAGCCTATTTAAAGGTAAGAAACAGAAATTTTTACACTGTTCTCCCTTGTTTTCTGTTCATGATGGAACTTGACTGAAATCGCTCCTCTCTCTTCAGAACTTTTGATGAAGTTTTCTCCCATAGCTTTTGTTTGTGATTATTTATTCTTTAAGCTCTGTTTCACTCACCAGAGCCATAGCTTATTCTGTATGTGTAAGGTACGGCTCTCTCTGTCATGGAGTCTACTTCATTTTTTTAACTTGAAACTTGACCAGATGAAAACATGTAACTGACATGCTTTGTTTTCTTTTGATTTCCAAGATTGCATGAACAAGGTAAACTTGGAGGAAAAAAGAATGAAAGATGAAGAGAGAGCAATGAAGGAAGTTCAGTCTGGAAAGCTAGCCGCCCTGTCCATAAAAGAACTACTGCAGAAACTTGATAGGCCTGACCAGAATATCCTCTACTATACAGGAGGGATCAGACTTTTGACAGGAGCCATTAAAGATTGTAAGTATTTGATGCAAAGGTTGTTGATCATGGGAGATGTGATCAAAGTATATGAATACAAGTGGAGTAGTCTTTAAAGGAACAGAAAAACTATTTGTATATCTCAAACAGAAAATCAGCAATGTTTCATATTTTGAAATTTATGACCGGTAAATATTTTAGAACTAAAGCAATGTTGTAGCTGAGCTGTTAAGACTTGTTATGGATTTGGGTCTCTTAAGAAGAGTTTCCTTCGTTTTGAAATATTTGTAATTCTCTGTTAAAGCATATTGATTTGCAAAGCCAGTCTTGTGTTTTAGCCTTCCTAAAAAGCCTTTAACTTGAAGTCAATTGTTCTTTATAACACCAGGCATGAATTAGAGCAGTCTTCAGCTTCAAAGCTGTTTCTACTTCAAGTGGCATTCTTGGAGTTTTTCCCCTCTTTTAACGATATTCTTTTCCCAAAGCTGTTGGTGCAGTGACCTTTTCTTTTAACACTGTGTTATAGGAGAGCAGGAATGTGCCTTCACAACGATACATCGGCCAGGTGGATCATAGAGCTGATTTGTTTATCTCTGAATTTTTCAGGCACTGGGCAAACTCTCTTTCGAACAAACAATGGATTCAGTATCCTCAAAGACAACGAGGCTGTAAGACGGTAAGAGCTCTCCAAAGGAAAACAGTAGGGTGTTACAGCATGAGGAAATGAAAATACTGTTTTCAAGAAAGACAGTCACCTCTTCAAATGGCCAAAAGATAATGTAATAACAGGATTTAATGTCTGAACAGACTGACTTATATCTGACTCTTGTACAAACAGTGCTCTCTTAGATGCAGTGAACAGAATTAATGAATTTCTGCTTCTGTCTCATATTTCTGTACAGTTATCCTATCTCATGGTGAGAGCAGGTTTGTAAAAAAACTTAATATAAAAGAACATCTGAAAGCACTTAGTCACTTTAAGTATACCTGGCTAGACTCCTTGGTGCTATGTTCAGCACCAAGTATCAGTAAATATTTGGCCATATAGTTTTTTAATGGAACCTGTGAAACTCTCTAACCTCATAATCAGGAAGAGGATCATCTCTGGGAACCTATATCTTCTGCTGCTGTATTATCTTGGCTGCTATAATATTGTATTTCAGTAATCACGAAACAAACTTGACTAATATTTTTCTGTATTGCTTTATAAACTTTGTCTTTACATGGATTTCTTGTCCACATGTATATTTCTTCTTCAGGGTTCATCAGTATTTTGGGTGTTGGCTGTAAATAGACTTAAGAGATGAAGCACTTCCCAACTTGCACAAAATTATTATACCCTGGCTATTCACAACTGTCTCAGCACAGAACTGAATTTATCATCTGTATTGTGCTATGTAATGCTCATATAGAGCCTGTGTTTAGGGTAGAGTAGAGCCAGTAGATCACAAATCTGGTGTCAGAGGAGGTCCTCTGGAAAACAGGTCTGATAGTTCAAAAAATGTTTAACCAATGAGCTGGGTTTAGGGCCTATGAGCTTAACTGTTCATGTGGCAGATCCTTGTCTCTGTGGGGCTTTGCTGATTTCCCTAGCCAAAGAGCTCACTGTTTGATCTGTCCTGTGCTCTTTCTACAAACCAATGTTTCAAATTTAGGGGCTTCTGTGCAGAGAGGAAAAACACTGCTGAAGTGGATCTGTCTGTTTCTCTTCTCTTCCTTTGGCAAGCTGTCTGCGCTGGGAATGGTAAAACTATGTAATCAACATTAATCATTGTTAATGTACTATTAATATGGCACTTAATATTTCTAAAATGGCTGTTTGGTATGAACATCACTTCCCCAGAGCACTTGGGTCTAGACCTTATTGTAAACCAAGTTTCACAGGTCAAATGCAAGTGTTTGTGGTTGCTGCTAGCGGTATACCTCCATTTGGGTGGTTCTGTGCATCATGAGATGAAATTTCCAGTCGATTTCTGTGAGCATTTTAAATCTACTGGAGAGGTGGAAAGTAAACTCGTGTGATTATTGCTGCTGGTAAGATAATATCACTTGTAGCTTTTTGTTGTTTTTAAGCAGTTATACCAGCAAGAAGCAGGGGTTATAGAAGTGCCATTGGAGAAGGCTGAATTCCTTTGGCAGTCACAGTCAGTAGTCATTGGGCAGGTAGCCCTCGCATCTATTTCTGAGTGTATGCCTAGATGAGAAATGGGCTGCAGTGGTGGTGGGTGGTAAAGTGGTAGAGAATGCCACACAGGGAAAATACAGAATGCTCGAAGTTGGCATCTGTGTTGACTTGCGTTATCACGGGATCCAGCTGATACCCAAGAGAATATACCTAACACAAGTTAAGGAGAAAACTTGTTTTATATTCTGCCTATAGACAGTTAGCAGTAAAAACAGACTAATGTGCAGACTTGTATACTGCCCTACCAGGCACAAACACGTAAGCTACACTATTGGGCCTGGACTGTAGCAGTTTGCAGGCAGCTGATAAGTGAGAAGCACTTTCTGCTCACAATTCTGGTGTCTCTGTTTGAAACACTTAACACCTGAGAAGTTAGCATGTTGCTAGTGAGAGCAGAAATTCAACCACCAGTGCATGTGTTGAACTAATGGAGCTGAGAGAAGATTAGTGCGTGTTCTGCCTTACCATTGCTCTGCAGGAGTATTATGCAAAATTAACACATTAGTGAATGAAATAAAGACATTAAACCTGTTAAATCAGCACCTAGGAAAAAAAAAAGTAGTAAGAGTATAATATGAAAACTAACTATAACAGCAATGCGGATGCCATTGTGGGGGACATAGCTCTTACATCTTCTCTCTTTTCAGAAGAAAATCAGCGTCTTCTATTGACTTGTTCTGATGTGAATGCACAACTACCAAAACTGCTTTCTTCTGGAGCACCAGAGATCCAAAAGGAGACATTGGCCCTAATCTCTCTTTACTCAGACAATGAGAATGGGAGGAGACTGCTGGTCAGGCACCAGGACCTAACCAAGTAATAAATGCTACTATACCTCAGAAAGAATTCCTTAATGCAGGGGTTCACAGATGTTCAAAACTCATCCCACTAGCACCAAGGTGACAGGCTTTCTGAAAGGAACCTAATGCCATTGAGACTTCTGTCTTGAGGGATAGGTAGACCTAATTAAGCAAAAGTAAGTTAGGTATGTGGGGAAAACTTGAGTAAACTTTATATCTGAAGATGTCTGTGAAGCTAAGTAGAAAGCACTTATTCCTGAGGACATTCATGTAATGTTGAGGCAGGGTTACTTTTTTTTTTTTATGATTATTGAGTGTTGCCATGACTCACTGACTGGAGAGAGAAACAACATTTTATTACCTTTATCCTATTGTCTTGCTATTTCCTTCTAGAGTTAAGCACAAGAGAAGCTTAAATTTACTGGTTTGCACTACATGTTTTGGAAGTAGCAGATGAATAGAAAAAATTTTCCAACAGTTCTACATAGTTCACTGCATTATATACAACATTAATCCAGAGACATTTTTCCTTGGAGGAAAGGTTAAAGAAATGAGCCACACCTGAGAGGATGCTTTAAAAAAGGCAGATAATATTACTGTGGCTTTGAAATATCAGGAGGCTAAAAAATTTCTGTCAACTTCTGAAAGAGACCCTGGGCCTGATTGCTCGAGAAGAGTTAGGATGTTCAGAAGATAAGGTTGCAGATACTGATATTATCAGCATTTGGGCTTGTCATCAAAAAGGGATGAGACTATAGGTTCTTTTACTGTGCTACAAAGTTGGAGATAAGTGGCTGAGAATTTCAGCTCAGCAGAGGAGCACGTGGAAACCCTAGTGCTGTACTGCAGAGCTTATGGGTTCACAATCTGAAGTCCTGTGAACTGTATGCAGGCTAAATCCTACAGCCGCAAGCAGACACTGTTCCAAAAGCTCAAAAGGTGTGATGCTCTTTTCAGGCAGATTAATTTTTCTTTTCTACTATAGTTAAACCCCTCCAAAGACTGTTGTGTTTGCTTAGCGTGTCCTTTTAAGCCAAAAGCAAGCATCAACTGACTTTACCTGCAGGCCTTTACAATCTGTTGAAGCTGTTCACTACTGGGCTGTGCTGATGGTGTTCTCATTTCTGAGTGTTGCATTCTACTTGTCTGTCCTTAAGATGTTTGCCAGCAGCAAAGCAGCTTAATTTCAAATATCTGTGAAACTTACATGCTGATGAATTGTTCTAATGCTGACAGAAATTGGTATGTGGGTTAAAACCATTGTACTTGTGCAAAAAGGGACAATATTGTGAGAGAACCTAGTGCCAAAATATTGTTCTAATGGCAGTCAGGGGACCGCATATATTTGGAGGGCCTGGTACTTCCGGGTTGGTCAAAACCCCACTGAACACTAAGAAGTTTAAGATCATAAATTGTGTTGGTGCAATTAAAATATAATTTTGATCTTTAGTAATTAAACCAAAGCTGACATATTTTTTGGGTTTGTGGTTGTTTTTTTTTAATAACAGATGGCTACAGATTTTGATAACATTTGTCAACAGCACTGATGCCAAGGCTAGCAGTGCCATGAACATACTATCTGCTTTAACTGAAGAGGAAGGGTAACTTGCATTTCTTCATTCATTTTTATAAAGTCGTGCTTTGAAATGTACTAAATAAGCTAGTGATAGAGGCTCTTGGCCTTCTTTGCTGTGAGGGTACATTGCTGACTGATGTTCACCTTGTCTTTATGTTGCTGTTGTGTTGCCTTTATCTGTGATTTTTTTTTTTCTCTAAAGCTTTAAGTGACTAAATGTGGCTTTTTTTTATCCCCCAACAGGTTCAAAACCCAGTGTCGTGTCATGCTTTCCACAGGTGTTTTACCTCTATTCACCCAGTTGCTGGTATGAAAGATCTCAGTTTCTATATTTCTGGTTTCCTGTTGTGTAATATGTCTTATGACCACTCTTTCTAGCTTTACAACCAGTTGCTCCTAGACAGAGCCTCTCTGTGATAGAATTACAGTCGTTACTGTGTCACTAGTTCTGTAGGCATAAGAAATCCAGTTTTGTCATATGCTTCCCTCAGGAAAATGTTCTCAGTTTCCAGTACTTAGTGCTTCATTTCTGTACATTACTAGTTTTATATTCAGTGAAAACTCTGCTTGAATGCAGACTCCCATTGGAAATCTGTCAGGCTAGGATTTCATACTCAGTTTTGTGTTACACTCTTAATGTGATTTTTAATCCACTGTCACTAACTGGTTATATCCTGGATAGTGCCTTTTTCTGTTTCTTTCTAATCTAGAGATCAGAGTGAAGAGATGACATTAGGTCACAAGCTAAAGATTTTAGTGGTTCACATCCCTGTCCTGGTTATCTTTTATTTAAACTACAAGCTTACAATACTGTTGGTACAGAAACTCAGGAAGAGGGAAGACAGGTTTTGTTGCAGAACAGCAGATATAGTTGGAAAGTAAAATACTTCCACTTCTCCAAACGAGCACCAAGACAATGCAATAATTACAGCATTTTTACATTGCTTGTTGCCCTCTCCTTTGAACATACCGTACTGGAATTACAGCTGCAGCGGAGGCTGTTCTGTTCTGTGACCTAAGTAAGTGCTAGTAGGAAAAATTCGTGTTAGGGACCACAGAATCCAGTCACTTTTCCCCAAGACTCTTCAAATGTCATCGGGAGATTCACTGTGAAAATGAAGGTGATTCAAACTTTGGACAATTGCAATTTAACATAGATGAGAGATATTTTGGAATCCCGTTTTCCATTGCCAGAGGGATAGAAACACCTATTTGTTGTTTCCTTGCCATTTGTTCTTAATTTCTGTTTTTAGACCTCTGCCGAGCTGGTGAACCAGGCAGCCCTTGCCCATTGCATCGGCATCATGGGGAATCTGTGTGCAGATGCAGCCATTCGAATGCAGATGGCTGAGTGCAAAGAGTGCTGGCAGGCGTGCTTAAAGCTTGTGGTAAAGAAACTTGATGACTCCCTAGAATAGCGTTTTCAGCCTTATCTCCTGTGGAAATGGCACTTGTGTGATTGTTTCTGTCTGCCTCCCCTCATAGCTCTGAACCCTTGACTGAGATCTTTCAGATCTGGTAGTTGGATAAAGGTCTCAAAGTGGTCTGTTGTCCACATAAGTTGTGGATGAATAGATGGGTGGGGAAGAGCAAGTGGTCCCTTAAGTGGTCCCTCATTTCAGGGTAAGCATGCAGTTTGAACTCGGTTCTCAGAAACTAAAAAATTCAGAGACTGGGAAAGGCTCTTGTTAATTGCCTAAACATCAGAAGTTTGGAGTGTGCAACTTTAGATACCAAAGTGAAAGAAACGTAAGAACGAATCTGTATCAAAAAAGCATCATTAGCTCTGGTGCTCGTGGTGCATATTGTGAACCTCTGAATCAATTGCACTTTTCTCCCTTTTTACGCAGGATGAATGCTATGATGTCAGCACACCCAAATACCAGGAGTGTTTGTTTGCAGTGCTGGGCCTAATGATGAACTTACTGCTTGAATCAAATGGTATCATACAGGTATATGAGATCTGTGAATGTTCTTTGGGGTTCTTTTGATAATCGCTTCCTTAGCAATTCAGAACTGCTTGAGCAGTGAGAGCATCCTTGTTCCTTGTCACCATGAATGGGCCTGATGCAAGTCACTGAAGTCATATCAAAACATCCAAATAGAACAGGTGAGGGAACAACCATGGAATATTGTGAACGTTTCAGTCTGTACAGGGAAAAAGAGCTTGACTGCGTTACATGGACTTGGAGCTTTCTTTCACATCAAGTGTGCTGAAGCACTTAAAGGCTGCCATCCTTAAATTTTGCTGGTGGTCAGTTAATTTTTACTGCTGTTTAAGGTTATCATTAAGGGTAGCTGACAATTTAAGTAAGCTAAACATTAAAAAAAAAATATCCTCCACTTCCCCCATATACACACATTCATGAGGGGAAAAAATACAGTGTTAAGCGCAGTACCTTCCCCTAGTGATGTACATGTTTTGTTTGGCATCAGTCTCCAATTCTGGGATATTCTTAGATGCTTGGTACGTTCCAAAATTATCCAAAGCTGAGAATTCCATCAAGAAAGAAGAGTTTCCAAAGTTACATCTGGGTACTGAAGTGTTAGGAACTTGCTGCCATGTGTGCCCCGATCTCCATTGGATTCTTTGTTGTACTTTGTCTATTAATGCATTTCTGCTCTAATTCTTCCCAGCAATCAGCTGGACCTGAGTTTTTCATGTTGTTGTTTCAGCACTTTGCTGTGGACATAAGTGCCAGGTGCATGTCTCTCCTCGGGGAAAAGGATGGAAGGATTGTGACAGTAAGTGGGGTATCTATGGACCAATGAAAGATTGTATTAGCTGACCAGACCTGAACACTTCAGGGCAAACTGGTGCCCTATGCAGATCTGTCCATTAGGCTTTGAAGATTAAAACATTCATAATTATTAGTAGCAAAGAAATAATAAGCTGCTTATTATTCAGGGTTCTGTATTGTTTGATGCAAGAGGTTCTCAATGTTCTCTTCAAATCTACTTAATAGAAGCTCTTACAAATCATTTCACCCTTATAATGGTTTTCAATATAAAGCTCTTAAATCAATCTGGAAGCAAAGGAGCAAGAACCATTTGTGTGTTTAGCAGCTGTTTCTTATTACAGTTCTTGTATGTGAATCATACCTAGGAGATTGTACTCCTATTAATGGTGTGTAACTCCCACAGATGGCAGTTACTCAAGGCAAATGGGCAGGAGCAGATGTGGACTCAGAGTCCGTTCTGAACTCACAGGAATTGTTCTGATGTGTTCTACTTGACTCAATACCAGCAGTGCTGGGCCGGTTTCTACTAGGAATTTGTTTCAATAAATAAACATACAGGGAGTTGTCCTCATCTCAGGACATCTAAAGACTCAATGAGTCTTTAGAAGCTGTGTTGAGTTCAGTTTCTAGTAAGCAATAAAAAAGCCCTGTCCTAAAGATGTTGTTCGTTATATTTCCAAACTTTTCTCCTTTTATCACTTCAATTACTTTAGTTTTATTCTGCCATCTGCAAAAACAAAGTAATTTGAAAACTCCTTTAAAGTTACCGGGACAAATAAATGTTTGTTTCATTCTCTCACACTGTTTTCTACTTAGAGAGCCATTGGAGTGCTAAGTCGCATCCTGCCAACATCCTCCTCAGCAGTAGAAGAAGTAGTGAAAGGAGGAGTGGTGAAGAAAATGATCAAATTCTTGAAAGTAAACTAATTTTACAAAATTCATTTTATTTCTGCTTTTATTGTCCCTTAAGAAAACCATAGTTGCCCCTGTGTTTAGCTTCCTTTCCCTAGGACAAAGACCTGTGCAGTCGCTCTGGCTGCATGTGTGTGCATCTGTGTTGACCACTATAATAGTGCTCTCAAGTTTAATTTTAAGCTGGGTAGCCAGCTTGGAGACTAGACTGCCTTCTTGGTCTAGGTCATAGCCCAGATTTTTCATTTGTTTCTGTATGAGCCAGATCCCTGTGTACAGCTCTACTTGCAGAGACCTGCAAATTCAAGATTCCACAACTGCAGGCCTAGTTGGGAGGGCTAAAGCTTAAAATTGGTGTGATCTAATTCAGATCACTGAAAAGTGATGAGCTCTTTCCCCTAAATATATGAGATATATACTCTACAAAGGTCTTAGTTTGGTATTTGAGCTTAAGCACAAGCAATACCTAACTGTCTCTGTGGTACCCTAAGCTATTCTGTAACCTTGAGTAAATTGGGGTATGAACTGCATGTTTGTTAGTGTATGCTTTATTCTAATCAAATCTAGGCTGGAGGACAGATCACATCTAATTATGGTATAAAGACCCTTTCCATCTGCACCAGAAGTAATAGACAAGCTCAAGAAGATCTAGTGAAGTCAGATAAAAGTAAGTGACAACTTCAGTGGTTAAGTGACTGAGTGTGGAAATGTAATCTCAATATCATCCAATTACTTTCTTCTCCTCCAGAATGGAACTGAAGACTGGATTTTACTCTTGCAAGACTTAAGCAGTGTTTTCGTCTCCCTTAACCTCTTGAAATAGTGCTTAACGACCTTTAGCTTGATGTGTGGATGGAAATAGGCACATCAGACAATGAGCCTGAGAGAGACAAAATGCACTTCACTCTAGAAAAATGGCTTGATATGCTTTTTCAGGCCCAGAAATAAGCACTTCTTTCAAGATAAACAAAAAACTGTAACTGAACTGGATTCTATTTCCTTAAGTTAGTGGCTAAAATAACAAACTTCATTTAGATGTGTGATTTCCAGAGGCTGAGGCTGTTTATAGTTTCCTTCAATTTACATGTGGATATTTGGTCTGGTATTAGAAGGAAATAGGCGTGGAAACAGAGTGAGAATATCAGACCAGTTGTCTCAGGTTATTTTTGAGTAAACTTGTGTGGTATAACTCTACTTAGATTGCTTTAAAATCCAGGTTCAATTAATGCTAATGTAACTACAACAGAGAATACTTAAGTTTTATCTAAATGGTTGAACCTGTCAAGAAACTGTCAGCTCATGTAGTTCAACTTGAACCCTAAGGATTTTCACTCATTAAAAGCCTCTCAGAGTATCATCTTCCTTTTGTATGCCCCATATTAGTTTCACTGTCATCTGTAGATGAAGCTCTCATTTCCTCAAATTAGCAACAACACTCTCATTCTTTCTGCCAAAGCTCTGGGTATTAATCTTGTGAAAAATCACTATTTCTTATTTTTGTCATCTCTGTTTGCCAGCAGATGCCAGCAAGAGCTATACAACTCTGTGTCAAGAGTATACACAAAATACTGTGCCACCGTACATTAGCACAGGTTACAGAAGTAGATGAGCTGAGCTGCTTTATGTTAGCTTTTTTATGTTCCTTTTTTCAGCTATTCTTTCCAGAACAGCACTTCTGTCTAAACACATTTAGCTTTGTGCTGTACATGCTCTACTCTGTGCTTGCCTTGCTAGTACGGTAGGGTGAGAGGCCAGTGCAAGGTCCCGCGAGCAGCAAAGGTGGTGCTTTCCAAGAACTATTAAACAAATGCAGAAACACTGGCTCCATGCTAGAGAACCTCTTCAAGTGTAGACTAAATTCTGTGAGAAAGCCATCTAGACAGGTGAAGCTGAGACAGTGTCCTGGGTCTTGAACCTTGCTATGAAATTCCCTTGCTCCTGCAGGTTGTCTAGAAAAACACCCCACGCAGAACAAGGCTCACTCTCTAGGAGTTTAAGTAAAGACAGGAGAAAATACCATTGTTATTTGAACAAATCTGTGCACATTCTGTACAATTAATCTCTTTTTCTCCCAGAGTTCAGTGTGCTGCTGAAGCTCTTGGAGTCAGAGAATGAAATTATTGTGGGAAATGCTGCTTTCTGCCTTGGCCAGTGCCTTGAAGTTCCTGGAGCAGCGACGTCCTTACTGAATTCCAATGTTGTGATGATATTGTTGAAACATGCTGGTGGTGATGCCACACGAACTTCTGTGCAGGAGAATGCAGCAATTGCCCTCGGGAAGCTTTGTGTGGCTGAACGAAGGTATTGTAAAAAAGGCTATTGTACTCCAGCACTGTCTGGTTGCTATTAGGTGATAATTCTTGAAAAACTGACTAGTGTAAGTCAATTCTAAGAGCAAGCAGGTACAGGGCAGATGATTAGCTTATATAAACACCCCGTGAATTCTACCACCCTTCCTCCAACTAGAATTCTCATTTGTGATACTGTCCCCACAGTTCTGCTTTAGGGTTCCTGTCTTGTTATCAAATGTAGCATTAAACATCCTTGATACTTTGGGCATGGAGTATAGCAGAGCAGTGGAAGCTTAAAACTTTTATTGTTAGTCATCTTATATTCCCTCAGAGCAACCTTTCTGTCACTTTTTCAGGCATATTGTTCAACTGCGGAAACTCAATGGACTGGCCATCCTGAACTCCTCTATGAAATATGTGCATAGCATCTGAAATCTTCGACAGCTTTGAAAAACGCTGTTAATGGCGCTTGTTGTTGAGTATTTTCTGCTATTTAATAAGAATAACTCAAAGAACGTGAACTTCTCTGTCCCTTTTCAAAGTGTTTGCTGGTCCTCCAGTGAAAGCCAGTGAATATAAGTATTAGGAGAAAGAAGTTAATTTATTATCTAGGCTAACATCTAAAATAACAACTTGTATTAAGCTTGTGTTTGCTTTAATAAACGATGTTGGTCTTTCTACTGGCTCATCTAGCTTACTTTCCAGTTTGGGTCCCTGGTGTATTAGAAGAAAATAGAAATATATTGTGAGTTATGACTTTGAAGAATCCTGTTTCCCTCCCCCTATTCTGTCCTCTAGTGGCTAGATTATGATTCAGTATCTTATATGTGATAGCACCTCACAGGTTGCTTAAACCTTAAGCCTCGTACTTAGCTGCTAAAATAGGTTGGTCTTAATTTCACTAAGCCTTGAGTCTGACAAGGAGGTTTGTGTATGAATGATGGGCTGTTTATTTTAGTAAAGCTGTAAACTTTGTAAAGTTAAAGGGATCCCTTTGTCACTCACTTTGGCGTGGAGTAAGAACAGTAGTTGACTTTCATTTTAGGTACTTTCTCACAGCTGCTTGTGTTCATCCTAATCTCCTCTGTAGTTGTTCATTTTTTTTTAAGCAATAACACAAATGGCACGTCATTCTAGTGTATGTGTTTTCTGAAGAGGTCAAAAATTAATTACTGCTAATGGCAAGTGTGATTTGAAAATAAAGGCAGTAATGCATTGCTCTTACCTCTTGTGTGTTCTTCCAAAAAGGCAGTTGAAAACACATGAATGAGAAGCTGTTCCAAAGCCTGCTTTCTGCACTAAAGCATAGCAGCTTTATTGTTGAGGTTCATCGTCATCTGTAAAACAAAGCCTTAGAGTCAAGGCAAAGCACTAGGAATGCACATGAATCATCTGTAAAGAAAAAACCCCACAGCTTTAGTTGGTGTTTAAGATGATTCTGGAAAGCCTATCTGTTGAGGGCTCTGCTGGTGGTGCTCTAAGAACAGAAGCTATAATGCTGCTGGTGGAAGCCTGTCAACTTTAACGAATAGTTTCCTCACGAATAAACGGGTGCATGTAGACACAAGTCTGTATCACAAGCTTGTAGGACTTAAGCTAGATGAGGACTTTGGCCATAAATATAATACTTCTTGGTTTTGAGCACAGGAAACAACAAAAAAAAATTACATTTATATGAAGAAGCACAGGCCAATCCTGTTTGACTTTAAAAGGGCTCTTCAGTTTGCCTCCTTAACACCTGTAGGTGTCTATTCTGTATGTAATCGTGTCCCTTTAGAACAGTGGCTGACAAATTATATATCATCTCCTTTTCAAAATAGCAGCTGAATCATCTTCCCACTTCAGAAGAAGGAAATTCTCGCACCTGGTTTTTCTCCCCACACAGTGAAAAGCATACAATTGATAATCTCACTGTCTTTTTTTTTTTTAACCTCCTCTCATTATGTTACACCCTGTCAAGACAAATCTGTAACACTATACGTGGTGTTCAAATCCTAATAGGCTCTAAACCTGACGAACACTGAGCATTGTCTTAAGGAAACAAAGTTATTGAATCTCTTGTTTACAGAGGAAAGATGTCAGAGGGGAACAGCAGGTGTAATGTGTCACCAGAAAATTACAGGAGAGTCAAAATCATCTTAAAAGCCTAAAAACTAAAGACCTTTCTTGGGTTTGACTGGTAAGCTGGGGTTTGCTTAATGGAACCTTTCACATACCAGTTGCTATTGTCCCCGGAAGAAAATGGTGATTGGGTAAGAGAATTGTTTCTATCTTCTTTCTGCACAAGGTGTTTGAGAACTGATTTGTCCTCCTCCAAAAGAACTACTATTGCATAAGTTTTGTGAGCAGTTGAGGCTACCAGCAGGAGCTATTGCCATTTGGGGATGGGAAGCAGACATGAGCAATCAAGCAGTTACAGAGGGGACATTGGGCTTGTACGAGCTCTAGTCCCATTTGAGGAACAAAGAACCTGCCAGTAGTTCCTAGCTGGGGGGGCACCATGGGTTTATTGATCACTTTTGTAGCATCTTTACACTTTTAAAACAGTCACAGCAGATTTTATCGTTCAGGAATATGTCTTGATATGGCTTGAACTGCAGATCGCAAACTTTGATCACAGTACCTAGGAGGTAAAATAGCGTATCTGTTCTAATCTGAGTAACGCAGTGGTACAGACTTGGGTAGACTCACTGTTGTGTGAAGCCAAGACCAGGCAATGGTTAGATTGTCAGCCAGTGGAAGAAGCAAAACACAACTTGGAGATGTGGAACTTCAGGAAATTGAGCTTTCCTGAAAGTGTTTAATGTGTTAGCTGATGTGACAAATTAGCGTCTGCTGCTTTTGGGTAGAGGCACCAACTAAAATTAGGGCCTTCTCTGTCATGTGCTGTACAAATACCAATCAGGATGTTTTTCTTTCACAGACAACTTAGAGAGTGGGAAAAAGACGAAATGACCTGACCTTGGCTACCCCGTTCAGGTGAGTGACATGGCTAGGACTGGAAACGATATCTGTCAGCACCTAACCTGTTGTATTATCTGCTGGACTACATTTTATCAGTTTGCTGAAGGGTGGATAACAGTTTATTGTTATTTCCCTCAAAAGCAATCACTTTGTCCTCAGTGTCTTTTGCAGTGCTTTTCTGAGCTGTCATTGTGCTACTTATCTGGCTTTTGCTCATTTTTTTTTACATATGATTTCTACTGCACTCACAACAGTCGTGGCTATGTAATAACGTTTTCACTTATCTCCTTAACCTGCATTGCCCTAAACTTCCTGTCTCCAAGAGTTTCTCTCACGATTTGTGCGTGTGGGTGCCTGGCATTAAAAAGATGCCTGATCTACACTACGTAATATGTTCAGGTGAATATTTGCACCTTGGTCACTTCAGGGCTGACCAAAAGTTAAAGCATGTTATTAAGAGCATTGTTGACATGCTTTTTAAACAGTGACAGCCATGGACTTTGATAACCTCTCTAGGAAGCCTTTTCCAGTGTTTGACCACCCTCTTGGTACAAAGATGTTTTCCAATGCCCAGTCTGAACCTCCCCTGGCACAGCTTTAAGCCATTCCCACATGTCCTATTGCTGGATCCCAGGGAGAAGAACACCTCCCTCTTCACATGCCCTCCTCAGGAAGCTGTAGCAAGCCATGAGATCGCCCCTCAGCTTCCTTTTCTCCAAACTAGACAAACCCAAAGTCTTCAGCTGCTCCTCACAGGAGGTGTCTTCCAGTCCTTTTATCAGCTTTGTTGCCTTCCTCTGGATGCATTCAAGGACCTTTGCATCCTTTTAAAATGGTGGGGCCCAGAACTGCACACAATACTCAAGGTAGGATTTTAACTCTTTCTTCAGAGATAAAGAGCTGCCTTGCTTAAGGAACCTCTCATGTTGACAGTCACGTTTTTGCTACACAGGTGAATACCCTCTCTTAAGTGTTAAAAATCAATTGATTCCAATTGGTGCAGGCTTTCTTTTTTTCTTGGAAGAGATTATTGGCTGCTGTCTTGCCTAAGCTCTTATAAAGTAACCCAATACTCTGCCCTTCCAGAACAAAGACAGCAAATGCCCATTGCTAAGAGGCAGCAGTGACTCCTTAGCAAGCTGCTTCCTGTCTACATTGTTATTGGGGTGACTCAGGAGCTGCTTCACAAGATGCGGGGAAAATTCCCCAGCTTTATTCTGATTGCAGCTGGACTATTGGATCTATCTGGTGAGTGACTTGTTTTGTTCTAATTTCAGTTGCTGCCTTTCTGCCTTCTTTTCCTCTATAATGAGTGAGCAAGAAAACTATGCTAAATATTGTGCCATCAGTCTTAGGTGTGTGGCAACAATGAAATGAAGGAGCAACCTCCTTCTGTTTGTGCAGGTGCTGTAAGGCTCAAGATGTTTTGTTATAGGAGTATTAGTGGCCCCAAATCAGCTGTGATACTTACTCAAGCTAAAGAATATATTGTCTCCTTCAAGCAGGGGAAAGCAAAGGAAAAATAGTCACTTTTCACAAAGTAGGTCCATAGCAGAACTGAGGATCAAATTCGTGTCCGTTGAAGCCTTGCTCAGAATATACTTTTCCAGGCACCACTGTTTATCGCATTAAGCACGGGCTCCCCTCTTCACCATGCAGTAACACATTGTTCTACATTTTCTTTGGGAACAGCTGTCCTGCCAAGTATTTCTGATAGCATGAAATCAATGATGAGTTTGTAATGCTGTTGTGCCTCAAACAAGTTCCTAGGGCTGCTGTCACTCATTGCAGGGAACCAGTCAGCCTTTGCCTTCTACCTCTTACTGTGTTCCTGTGAGCATACCCTCCAAGTGTACATAAAATTAACTTGGCTAATGAAAGCAGTCTTGTGTTTTCAGGCAGAATATTCTCTTCTCTTCAGTAAAGATAAAGGGGGGAGTGTGTCAAAGAATTTTCCACCCAATTAGTAATTCTATTCTTTTTGTGCATTTTGTTTATGTCTTTTTTAAATTACATTTTAATTACATTGTTCCATTGCAAGGAACATTTGTATTTGTAGATATTTAGACCACCTTGATTCAGTAAGTGCATGTCTTTGTAGACAGAGCACTTGTGTTGCTTTGCTGAGTTGGGGCTGAACTATGGCAGTTCCATTTGTTTATACAAAACCACAATTCAAAATATTTTACAGGTTTAACATAGCAGTCTTCATCATCCATTAACTTCCATTACTTTTTTAGCAATGTATCATCAGCTTTTTGGGTTCCCTTATACTCCTTACCCTGCTCACTGTTGACTGAAAGTAGCACTGGTTCTCCAAGTGACCCTAGAGAAGTTATACTCTCCTCTTAAGGCACTTGGATGCCAACCCCAGGGATTTCATCTGAAGCAAAACTGCTAAACCTCTGCTTTGCCTTTGTCAAAAACCACAACTTAAATGCATAACACTTAAATGCATAATCACTTTTTAGCTTTTAGATAGGTGTATTTGCTGGCAGGTGCCTAACAGAAAATGTTTGAAGTTTTTGTAGAGGAAAGTACACTGATATTTTACTTCATGGTTTGGAAAGTATAATTGGGAATATTAACCTCTGAATGTGAAAGCAGAAAAAAGTAGAATGTGTAAAAGGTACAAAGCTAAAAGTAGAGAAGTTATTGTGTTCTGTCTGCTCTGTGTCACTGCCACAAAACAAACCAGCTTTGTCCTGCCTGGTCACCCAGTATGCATCAAGAAACCTGTCATAGGACTGGGATACTGGGGGAGGAGGAGGGGTTAACAAGGGCCAGGTGAGTGAGCTCATTCATGTATATATTAGTCTTGCTTTGCTATTAAAGAGCTACCAGCCTACCCTCAGGCAACCCGAGGGTTTTAGTCTCACTGCATCTTTGGCTGTCATTTATATCCTTATACAATTAAGATAAAGGGTTTCTCTCTGGCTGGTTAATACTTAGCATCATTATGGCAGGAGTACGAAGTGTCATCCTTCATGTGACACTGAATATAAACAGCAGAGGATCTGATGTATAGCAGCTGGCTGTAAGAATGGCAGTGCCAGAGCTGCCCATCCTCCCTCGTGTATAGTTCTGAATGGAGCCTGTGGCCACTTAACTTTTACGCTTCCCACTCAGCCTGTTGGAAAGCACTGCTGCAAGCTCTTAAAAGTTCATGTGCAACTGAATAGGCTTCTTTTCTGTTCATTAGGTGCCTCCAGGAATGAACATCATGTCAGTGAAGTATTAGGCCTGAGTCTTCCTGGAGAAGTCCAACCAAGAGCTGAGAGCAGCCCAGTGCCCAGCGAAGTGTTTTCTGTTACAGAAGATAACTCAGATGAGGTGACCTTTAATTTCCAGAGTCCAGGAGTTGATTCTACCAATGAAATGACAGCTAACTTTGTTCCTGTCCATACAGAGACAGCTGCAAAAAGAACAGCCGTGCTGCCTAAAGAGTTGGTTAGAGACTTGGAGGTGCCTGCGCAGCTGCACACAGAAGCACCAGCTTTAAAGCTCCAGGATGGACACCCATCTCCTAGCAAGCTCTTGAGTACCATAAGCAGCCCTGCCTCCACAAAAGGAACACAGACCACCACACGTCCAGAACAGCCAGACAGGTCACTGCAAGAAAAACCAGAAAATACTACTGAGGCTGGTTTCAGTCCTACTAGCTCTAGCTCTGGGCTGCCCCAGCCCGTTCTCAGTGGAGGGACACAGCAAGACTCTCCTGTCTTTTCCATTCCTGTCAGCAAGCAGATGGAGATGCCAAGTCCTAAAACGTCTCTTCTGACTTCAATGGTAAACTTTCATCCTCCAGGAAAAGAAATAGCAGCATCCCCATTTCCCACCAGAATTAATATTGCTTTTGAAAGTGCAAGGGTGGATTGGTTACCAAGAGGAACTCCCCCTACTAGCAAAAGGCCAAAAGACCCAAATCCACAAGTCCAGCCTGACAGGAAAGCTGGTGTGACACCTGTATACCTGAAGAAGACGCAGAATATGGATGCTGAAGTTACAACTTCTGCATTCCTACAAAAGCCAGCTTCGGGGGACCTTGATAGAGTCTATTCCAGAATGATGCAGACAACTGCTATTCAATTTTCCCCTGTTTTATCTCTGAAGCAAGAAACAACAGGCAGCAAAGCCAGAAACTCGCCAACAGCTGTAATAAATGGTTCTGGACATCAAACCCAGTTCCCTGCTCTTCAGACACGCTCACAAGGCTACGTACATTCTTCTTCATTATTGATGCATCTGGAAGCTCTGGGTCATGATGACTTACTTCCATCTCCATTTCAAGGGCCCATTAGCACAACTGATAGAAAACAGCCCCTCTCTTTGTTCCAGACTCTCAACTGTACTAAACAGCATGTTTCCCAAGAAACCAACAGGAGCTCTCAAGACATCACGGTTCTCGTTTTGCAAAGAGATACCAATCCTCAGACAGTGACAAGTAAACCTGAAAAACCCAGATTCCCTGGGAGCCCGCAGACTTCTGCTAATTCATCCTCATTAAGCCAATCCTGGATTTCTATATTAAAACTTCCCCAAACTACTAAAGAGCTAAAAGGAGTAACATCTGCACTCTTTCCAAGTACATCTACCTTTGAGAATGCAACCATTCAACCTGTAAGCACTTTTGATTCTGTTCATGCAGGGCTTCAGCCACCAGGCAGATCTTTTCCTGCTTACACTGGAGTGCAGCTAATGGGCATCCCCACTTCTGCTGAGAAAGGACTTCACATACCAACTTCATCTACATCTACTGGTTCTGGGTCTCAGGTTCAAGGCGTTTCTTCCCCTCCTGTATCTCAGGAGATCTTCCCTGTGATGCTGCAGGCGAGCACAGTAGAAGACTCCCAGAGAAAGAAAAGTCTCCCAGAACAAATAGATAAAACTGTTTCTCCCCCACTGACTCCACAAGCCACCCCAGTTCCCAGCCTCTCTGGACTGCATGACAATGGTAACCAGAAAGTCCCTCTTCACAGCTTTGCCCCTTCAGCCTCCCAGATCCAGCAAGCTGGCAGCCTGGTAGCCTTTGCTTCAGAACTGCCCTCACTCCATGCACAGGAAATCCAATCCAGCTCAACAACAGCACATCCTGAACCGGTGGTGCCTGGTGTTTCTGATGAGACCCCAGCATATCTGGCACAAGCACTAGTGCAGCAGTTCGGTATCTCACATGCTGTAGCTACCAAAAACCTCAGTGCTTTTAGAGCTGGTCAACTTACATCATCCCCATACTTGTACTTTCTGCTTAAAAATGCTAATGGTATGATATGCCTGCAGCCCATGCAAGATTCTCCTCTACCTACGAAATTCCCAAACGCCAGCATTGGGGGTCTGATTTCCATTCAGCAAATCCTGGCAGCATCAAATTCTTCAGTGCTGGACCTTGCAAACCTAAAAAATCTGACTCCTTCTAGCTTAATTCTGGTTAAGCCTGTATTTATCCTTTTGCCCACTGACAGACCAGATTTAGAGATGGTGCCCCCTCCTGAGGGTGAAGATGATCACAAAGCTGCCCTCTTCTTCGTGAACAAGCAAGATCTGAATTTAGGTACTCCTGAAAGCAGCCATGATATCCCAATGAAAACTAGCTTCTCTTATCCTACTAGTAAGTCATTGAGGCCTGAAACTACTCTCGCCACGGCATCTAACCAACAAGCGGAGATAACAAAAGTAACTTCTCAGCCAGTGCTAACTAATCCTAATTATACAGCCACAGCTAGTTTGTTTCAAGCTGTTACCTCAGCATCAAATCATTTGCTGGACCCAGGGGTGAGGATTAGCACTACGGTGCAGGCCACGCATCTGCACACATTGCCTGAAGAGATGCAAGTACCTGCTCCCAACTCCCAAGAGGCCAAGGGGTCTGATTTGCTTTTACTGAACGGTACGTTAATGCCTTTCACCTCCCCTGTGCCATTAGTAATGTCTGCACAGCATAGCCCCCATATTTCCCCCAAAGTACTTTTCACTGCTGACAAGCCACAGTCTTCTGTAATTCCTTTGCTGTCAACAAAGGGAGACTCGGATTTTCAAATGCCTGCCCAACCTCTGTTTACTGTCACAGGGTCTGTAGATCAGGTTCAGCACAGTAAGGAACTAATACTGCAAACTACTGGCCATCACCAGGGCTTAGTTTCCATACCTGCCTCTGTCCACGCTCAATGCACAGCGTGTTCGACCTTGCACTCAGCCGGAACCATAAAATACCCGTTAAAGTTGTTCACAAGCATCATGCCTTTGCAGTCCACATCACAAAGCCTCCTAAGTACTGAGTCACTTCAAAGGCTGCCACCACAAGTTCAGTTTGTACCCAGCACATCATCAGCTTTCTCCACGCTTCCGGCTGGAAATGATGGCAAAGATTCAGCAGCAGGCAGCACAACATGTTCAGGAGGAGTTACAGTGTGTGGTAAAGCACCACAAACCCTCACCACTTCTGTAAGACCTGATCTTACTAAACATTTGGAATTTACACCCATTGTTCCTAAACCCTTTACGATGACAGAGAGACCAACAATAGCACTCGCACATACTCCATTTTCAACAAAGGTTCAAATGAAAACAGCAGTTCCTGGGGAACTTTTGGCTGCAATTACCCATCCAAGGGTGTATACCAGCTCTCCGGCAAGCCCACCTTCACCTGTGTCTACACACATTCCCCCACTATCAGCCATGAAACGTCACCAAATCCATCAAACCCCTACTAAATTGTTCTCACAGGCCAACATGGGAGAAAATACAAAGCCAACTGAAATCAGCACAAGTTCAAGAAAAATAGGAACTGGTAAGATCTTGGGAACAAGCATGTCTCTGACAGCCGTGTTTAACACAAGGGCGCAGCAACCCCTTGGGAATAAGGTTGTTTTAACTCCAGTACAACCATCTGTGTCTGCAGAAACTACTATGGCTCTTGAGAGACAGCCTAAATTGATACAGACCACATCACAGTCTTCATTAGCAATGACTTCTCACTCTGCAGCTAAGAATGATTATATCACTACTTCACTTGCAAGCAAAAAAGCATTTCTCCTGCCAATATCAACTATCCGATCTGACCCAAGCACGGTGCTGCCTACAATTGCCAGTGTGAACAAATCAGCTGTGGTCTCTGCATCAACAGAGAAGAGTGAGGACATGCTAGTGAAAGGAGATGCAGCCACTGCTAGCCAGCTGCCCACTCAGGCATCCATGTATTCGTCGTATCAGCCATCAGCACAACACCCTTTGGAGAAAGTATCACTGGAAGATAACACTGAACATGAGACTGGCCATTCAAGCCCTGGCGCTGGGCCATCTACATCAGAGGCATTTTCTGTCTCTGCTAATAGGCTTGTAAATAAGGTCACTAATCAGTCTGCTGTTTTGAATAAAATAGCAGTTAATGATGCTGAGATGCTTCTAGCCAGAGATCTAATCCAGTCCCTTCCAAGCATAGAAAGCCCCTCGTATTTCTCTCAGAGTCTGATAGCACTTACGCCACATGGGAATTCCTTGCTGAGTGTTGCCAGCACTGGACAATCAGAGAGGCTGTTCTTGAACACAGAGGCAGAAGACATGGTTAGAACAGACAAAGTAACAGAAGAAGCAGCTGAAGGCTTAGTAACTGTTCTAACACTGCTGGATTCAGGACCCAGCGCACTACTGAGTGAATCACATCAGAGGAGGGTTTTGCAGTCAGATGCGACCATTCTGAATGGGTAATTATCTCAGTGTAGTTGCTGTTGTATACTTATACTGTGTAATTTAAGGAGGGGGAAGGTAATATCCAAACTGCTCCGTGGGCTCAGTAACATGAGTATGCTGTATTGTGGTTTTAAAAACATTTAGTGCGTGGAACAATGATACCGCACTAAAATAAAAAGGGTCTTTTCACATTTCAGATAACAATATTGTCCCTTAGTCCTAGTTTTCTTTTTCGCAGTAGCCTATGATGCTCTGCCTCTCCTCGCAAAACCAATCTACATAAAATTTTGCAAGTGGGAACATTTGATATAGCACAAGTGCTCAAACGCTCTAGAAAAGAAGGTAGATATTCCCACAGTAAAACACTTCCAAGTTCCCCTCAGTTCAAATGATTCTGCAGAGAGGCAGGAGGTGGGAAGCTCTATTACATCAGGGTCTATGTGTTGCTCATTTGTTCCAACTTACTGAGGAAACTCACCCTTGATGCTGTTTTGTTCCTAACAGGCTGTGGAGCCTGTCTGGGCCTCAGCTTTTTTTCCTTCTTTCCCTAAAGCCTTGCAGTTGTGAGTGATGATGCCTGCGGCTCCGGTAACTACACTGTGCAGATGAGCCTGCGTCCTGCTGCAGAAGCAGGCCCTGTGGCTGAAGGGTCAACACCTTCCCAGGAGACATTCCTGGCTTTAATCGCTGTGCAGAGCAACAACAGCCAGCCTGAGCTGCAGGTCCGGTCGTGCTGTGTGACACCCTCCGCCAGCCCAAGGGGACCAGGCGCCATGTGCTGCCTGTTCCGCAGGTCAGACACGGGGCCACAGGGGTGGGCACAGCATCGCACTGCTCAAGGGGCCTGGGCTGGGAAGGGGTTGGTCCTTAGAGGAGCCTCTCTCTTGTATCCTGTGTCCCTTTGGAGTTCGGAGTAAGCTCAAAGCAGTGAGAACAAGTCCAAGAGTGTTCTGCTCCTGTAGCTGTCTTGTAATTAATACCAAGGGCATGATAAGACACATAACCCTCAGGGAATAAAAATCTCCTTTCACCCTTTGATTTATGTAAAAAATCCATCCCGCTTCTCCACGCTGTGCTGTCACAGCTGCCAGGTTTACAGCACCCTCCTGCACTTTCTGCGAGGGGACGGCACAGCGTGGGAGCGGAGCAGAGCAGTCAAAGGGTTGGAGCCAGGCTTCTCCACAGGCTTCCACTCCACCATCAGCATTTCACAGCTATTCTTGCCTAACCTGTCTGGGTTGAACACAGGGAAATTGGGGGATTCATTAGTTGATGTTTGTAAAACCACTCGGGCACATTACATTGTGCGTTAGAAGCGCTACACATTATTGTCATCAGTAAAAGAGCTTTCTGATTTGCCCATATTGGCTATAGTAGGAGATCACCTCTGCAGTATTTCTGCATTTGTCTAGGTCAGGGAACGATTATCATGCTATGGCAGCCATTTTGACAGTTCTAGCAAAATCAACCTCCAAGAAACAATTCTATTGCTCTAGGACTGCGATCTGCATCCGCTGTACAGGGTAGGTACAGCCTGAGATGTTGACGTATTGTGGATTTTTGTTTAACTCTGACTCTGTAGATGCAGGTACCTGTCTTAGAACTTGCGCAGACCGGTGTGAGCAGATCCCCCTTTTCCCTGCCTTCAGTCAGGGAGAGCTGGAATTTGAAACTGCTATGTGTCCTTGCTAGGTTGCCATTTGAATGCAGACACATCCAGTTACTGCAGAGCAGTAAGTCCAGAGCTGCTAGCTTCACCATCCAGCTGTTCCAGATGCTGAATCACTCAGTGGCCTATTTGCACTGTGAGCTGAATGTCTGCCTACGTGGCAAAACTGGATGTGAACAGGTATGTGGGACAGGTCCATTCTCACTGTTCTAAGGAACTTTTGAAAAGATCTGGTGCTTACAGCAAGTACAGTCGATTCAGTATAGAATCTTGATGGTAGATTATCGAGCTCCACCTTCTTCCAGCTCATACAGTTCTCTCTTAATCTCCTGCATACTCCGTGTCTCCTAAAGTCCCAGCTGAATTTCTACTCTCAATTTAGCTAACTAAGCTCATGGTACTTTATTTTCACTTTACATGTAATCAGCATGTCAGCATATCAACAAATAAGCAAGTAGCAACCGTATAGGAAAATCACAAGGAAAAAGCTTAGCAGAGTTACATAATTTTGCATTGCATAATTACATTAGAGGGGTCAAATCTGTCTCTGGATTGTCCTGGGTCTGGGATATGGAAGTTTTCAGGCTTCCACAAGCTTGGAGGGCTCAGGGATAAAGCTACTGTGAAATACTTGGCACCGTGTCTCACACTTAACCATAGGCCACGCTGTGGATTTAAAAGGCACAGCACTACAGAAGTAGTGTAAATAGGTGTTTGAGCAGGACATAAAAGAGAGATTCATGAAAGTTTGAATGGTTGAGCTGCATGGTAAAGCTAGAAAAGTTCTGAAAATTCAGCCAGTCAGGCTGAATTCAGCCAGTTAGGCTTCCTAAAAGCCTAAGGTGCTTTTAGGAAGCTTTGGCAGGAATTAGAAAAACATTGTATGGGTAGGTGAAAGATGAAAGCCTGCATCTTGCTTATGCCCTATTTGCTCTAGCAGTAGTTCCTGGTCTGCAGACACAACCATTGGGCCTAAAAAGAGAACTGGACTCTCTGGGAAAGAACTCAGCCACGTCCTGTAATGGCCACCACATCAGAATCATCCCATATCTGGTCAATCTCTTCATTAAAACTCTGGAAGATGAGTTAATGATATGAAATGGTAGCAGTAGTTGCTAATCCCTAGGGAAAAGGAATGAGGGAAGAGGGACATATGGGCGGGTCCAAGCATTAGGCATCTCATTTTTTGGAATGAGAGCAGAGCTGGACAAAGACTGAATCTGAGGAGACCTGTTCCGATCAGCACTGTGTGTGATGCTACCGACTGCGCGCAGTCACTGGTGCAGGAGATTCTGTTCAGGCACCATCACTACACTTTCTAACGTTTTTCATACGTCTTTCTTAGGACTGCTTTGAAAGTGTGGAGCCACTTCTCCAACCAAGTGACAGGAACAGTTATGGAAACCTGCACAACCTGATCTCATTTGGTCCAGTTTTCAGAATGAAGAACAAGTTTCTATATAAACCTGTGGAAAGTGGGTCTCCTGTTTTTAATTTTCTCTCTCGGTCCCTCTTTTGCAGAAGTTTCTGTTTCACTTTTCCTGCTGTAAGAAAAACAGTACACTTCTAAAAACATTCTTTACAGCCAGCTGATATGACTAGATTGCATCCCAACAACTCCCCACCTTTATTTTGGCCTTCTTAAATCTCAAACATGATGGTTAATCACTATCAAATCCAGCAGACTTTCAGCTAAGAGAGGCAAATGCATCCTCTGTGGGAACTGAAGCTTTAGGAGGAGGAGAGGGGAGAAAAATGTGGCAGTGTGTCCTCTAGCTAAAAAGACTTTTCCTGCATGTTGCAATATTTTGGTGAAACATGTTGACGGAAGATTAGGAATGTCATTAAAATTACTTTGAGATATATTCACTAACTTGTTCCTTCAAGTGGCTGGGTTTTAAATGCAATGAGATGGGAGAAGTCAAGGTATAGGGACCGCCTCTTAAATACTTTTTTTGTTAGCATTGCAGCTTTTAGAATGAAAGAGTAATGCAATGATTTGTTGTACTAAGCTTAGGGAAGAGTCTCCGTATTTAGGGGTAGTTATCTGGTACAGCAAGGAAACAATATCCACAATAACTGGACAAAAATCTCACTTAAGAACATTAGGTTGGTCATGAGTCCTTTCTTTTTTCTTTCTGGTCAGAGCTGAAATACAGCAGCTGGTTAATGTTAATTAGACATTGTCCAGCTATTAGAAAGGAGTGATGTTGAACCTTATACATCATGAACATGAGAGGTTTCTTAAATCCACTGGCACCATCCCTGAGAGTCACCCAGCTTCTTGTGTCTTTACTTTTTTATGCAAAGAATATTTACTGCTGGGATCTTACGGCAAAGGCAGTGTGTTTGAAAACACACTACCCACTCAGACTACGCAATAGATAAAACCTACATACCTGCTTGGCATGCTATAAAGACGAATGGGAGTTTAACCTTCTCTTTCTTCTCCCTCCCTCTCTTAACACTGTTCACAGCTTGATGACTTATTTCTTTACTTCCAGGTCCAGATTCTGCCATGCTGGTACCCATTCTGCTGGGATCCCTTACTGGCTTTGCTGTCTTGGGCACTGCATTTACAAGCCTCTGGCTGCATCATAGACAGAAAACCAAAAATACATGCTATCCACAACTTGGAGAAATTCATGGCCTGTGAACTACGAGCAGCTGAGTGGTCCTGCAGATCCCACCCGACTGCTACAATGATCAGAAAAGCAATTGATTTTGCTTTGCACGTTGTATTGCTTTTGTAGAGCTTCTGCTGACCCAGGGAGCAAGATACTCAATCTCTGCTTTGAGTACGCCCCTCCTTCCTTTCTTTCCTTCTGCATGAGCGACTCCACAAACTGCAGAGTAGAGAAAGAACTGTAGTAGTGGTCTAGCTATGAGGGAGAGCAGAGCTTAATGCAGTATGTGCAAGCACCAGCATGGAGTCTGTTCCCAGAAACAGGAAAGCAGACAGGAAATAAGGGTACAGAAGAGCCACATAAAATAAAGCACTGTAGACTAGAGCCAGGTCATCAGGGAGAACAGATTGTTAGGAAAAATGACGAAACCAAATTTACTGACTGGGAATCAGGACGGGACTCGAGCTCCAGAGACCCAGCTTTTCTCACATCTAAGGAGCCAAGTGCCTTTATCCTTTGGCTTTACTCAAGTCACTGGTTTCTCATGTTTGGTGGAAGTGAGTTTCCATTAACTGCCCGTTTGTAAAAACCCACACAGTGGGAGAAAGTTAAGAATGCAAAAACCTTGTCTGTAAAGCTGAATTTGAGAGCACATGAAAAGAACTCACCACATTCAACTACTAGGTCCAGTCTCTTTACTGGTTTTGCCAGAATGCAAGCAGGAAAGGGGCAACAGCCAGAGTACCTCGTGTCAAATGCAACAGAGAAGGAGCTTGCACTCCCACCTGGATCAGTCTTCCTCCTCTGAAGAATTTCTTCAGATCTGATATCCAGCTAAAAATTCCAAACCAAGACTCAATGACAATTACTTTTCACAAATACTAATTATTATTTGTACTGCAGCAGCCCTGAGGAAACCAGCACCACATTGTATTTGACATTGACTTAGCTACAGCGACAGGCATTGTGCTAAGTTGTTAAAAACATATATACACAAGGCCCAGACAAGTGTCATTAAATCTTTTTTACAGCTGGGGATAAAGCAACTAAAAGCACACATACACCAATACCCTGATAGAGACAGGAAGGAATTAATCTTGCTTGTGCTCCAACCCTGCTCTTTAACCAAAGGACTGTTCTCTTTCCTGAATTAAGTTTGTAAACAGTGTCTCTGAGACTGACACAGCAGGTTCTGTACAAAATAGCAACGAAAGTAATAGCAACATAAAAAGCTGTACTACCTTTTTGCACTAAAATGTACCTGAAATGCAGTTATATTTGAAGTACAGCAGCTTCTTCTAACACAAATAGCAGCACTTTGTGGTTCTGAAGGAGTCTGATGTGGTGCCCAGGTACAGCTGCGGGCAGAGCGGGGTACTGCATCCTGGACACAATGGGGGCCATGACTGGGAGGAGAGGGGGGATCAACAGCTGCCTTGCAGCGAGGTGTCAGCGATCGCCTTGGCAATTTATCTTTGCAGGCAGGTCGGGAACCGTCTTCAAGGGGATTGGCAACAGCCTTTCTGAGTACAGTAATCAAGCGTCTCAGGGAAGAGGTGTTCAGCATTCATCTTACTGTGAGGAGTGACAGAAGCATCTCAGAGTGAGGGGGTTCAGAGTTAACGGGGAGGAGATGGTCAGCAACCACCTTGAGGTTGGTCAGCAACAGCATTTTGCCCTCTTTTTTTTGCTAAATTAACCAGGTAGAGTGCTATGCCAACTGCTGTGATACAGCCTTCTACCACTTTGCAGATGTTTTGTTGGCAACTGTAAAGCTTTTGAGAGTCCAAGCAGAATTTTCTTTACTGTCTGGCCTTTCTTCCAGCTCTGCAGAGGCGGGGGGAACACCTCATCAGCTGAGGAGAGAGCAGCACAACTGCTGGCACATGCTTAGCTGTGGCCCCAAGAGCCAGGTTTGTCTCGAGTGTCCTTAACGCTGAGGACTGTCCAGGGGGGTCAATGTACAGGTTACGGGTGGCTTTTCAACTGTTTTCTCTTTGCCCACCTTCCTTTGTGCACGTCAGCTTTTGGGTTCCCGATGGCGAGCAATGTGATGAAGTTGCTTTTCACACCATTGCTAGGCAAGTGTCAGGTGAAATGGTTGTATCCAGCCAGTTAATTGACAGTTCCCAGCAGTCAGAGACAGGATGGAAAAGTCTCGGCTACAGGCTGACCTTTCAGTCCTGTGACAAGGCACTGAGCCGCCAGGAGGTGGCAGAGATGCAGCTGAAGAATAAGGAAAGAAACAATCTTTCAGAAGGAAATAAACCAATGCTTGCGAGTAACTCTTCGGTAGGGCACTGTAGGTTGTTCTCAGGTGCTCAAGCAGCATCTGCACTTGTTGCTGATCTGGAAAATGTGGCCTATATCTTGTTGGGCCTAACGCCGTGGGTTACTGCAGTGCCTCCTACGAAGGCGGTGGGGACTTCAAGTACCTGCGCATGTTCTACATGTGGAAATTCCTGTTAAAGAAGACCAAGCACCTTCCTGTTCTCTGTGTCATGAAAATTCACTTTTTAAAGCGGAGCCTTTCTTTGCTAGGGTCCTGTGAGACTGGACTTGATCTCCTTGCTGGTTCCAATGCACTTTTCCTACTCGCGCGCTTGTGTTTGCCCGGTACCTTGTACTGGTGGTGGCTGCATCCAATCCGCCGGGCGACGGAGGGCCTTTCCCCTTCCCAAGGGCTGTCTGAGCGCCGGGAACTCTGCGCCGGTGTTCGGAGCCCCCCCGACCCCTACGGGCCGGAGCCGCCCGGACGGTCCCGCTGCGGGGCGAGGCAGGGGGCGCGAGGCCGCGGCAGGCGCCGGTCACGCTTCCTCCTCTGAAGAATTTCTTCAGATCTGATATCCAGCTAAAAATTCCAAACCAAGACTCAATGACAATTACTTTTCACAAATACTAATTATTATTTGTACTGCAGCAGCCCTGAGGAAACCAGCACCACATTGTATTTGACATTGACTTAGCTACAGCGACAGGCATTGTGCTAAGTTGTTAAAAACATATATACACAAGGCCCAGACAAGTGTCATTAAATCTTTTTTACAGCTGGGGATAAAGCAACTAAAAGCACACATACACCAATACCCTGATAGAGACAGGAAGGAATTAATCTTGCTTGTGCTCCAACCCTGCTCTTTAACCAAAGGACTGTTCTCTTTCCTGAATTAAGTTTGTAAACAGTGTCTCTGAGACTGACACAGCAGGTTCTGTACAAAATAGCAACGAAGGTAATAGCAACATAAAAATCTGTACTACGTTTTTGCACTAAAATGTACCTGAAATGCAGTTATATTTGAAGTACAGCAGCTTCTTCTAACACAAATAGCAGCACTTTGTGGTTCTGAAGGAGTCTGATGTGGTGCCCAGGTACAGCTGCGGGCAGAGCGGGGTACTGCATCCTGGACACAATGGGGGCCATGACTGGGAGGAGAGGGGGGATCAACAGCTGCCTTGCAGCGAGGTGTCAGCGATCGCCTTGGCAATTTATCTTTGCAGGCAGGTCGGGAACCGTCTTCAAGGGGATTGGCAACAGCCTTTCTGAGTACAGTAATCAAGCGTCTCAGGGAAGAGGTGTTCAGCATTCATCTTACTGTGAGGAGTGACAGAAGCATCTCAGAGTGAGGGGGTTCAGAGTTAACGGGGAGGAGATGGTCAGCAACCACCTTGAGGTTGGTCAGCAACAGCATTTTGCCCTCTTTTTTTTGCTAAATTAACCAGGTAGAGTGCTATGCCAACTGCTGTGATACAGCCTTCTACCACTTTGCAGATGTTTTGTTGGCAACTGTAAAGCTTTTGAGAGTCCAAGCAGAATTTTCTTTACTGTCTGGCCTTTCTTCCAGCTCTGCAGAGGCGGGGGGAACACCTCATCAGCTGAGGAGAGAGCAGCACAACTGCTGGCACATGCTTAGCTGTGGCCCCAAGAGCCAGGTTTGTCTCGAGTGTCCTTAACGCTGAGGACTGTCCAGGGGGGTCAATGTACAGGTTACGGGTGGCTTTTCAACTGTTTTCTCTTTGCCCACCTTCCTTTGTGCACGTCAGCTTTTGGGTTCCCGATGGCGAGCAATGTGATGAAGTTGCTTTTCACACCATTGCTAGGCAAGTGTCAGGTGAAATGGTTGTATCCAGCCAGTTAATTGACAGTTCCCAGCAGTCAGAGACAGGATGGAAAAGTCTCGGCTACAGGCTGACCTTTCAGTCCTGTGACAAGGCACTGAGCCGCCAGGAGGTGGCAGAGATGCAGCTGAAGAATAAGGAAAGAAACAATCTTTCAGAAGGAAATAAACCAATGCTTGCGAGTAACTCTTCGGTAGGGCACTGTAGGTTGTTCTCAGGTGCTCAAGCAGCATCTGCACTTGTTGCTGATCTGGAAAATGTGGCCTATATCTTGTTGGGCCTAACGCCGTGGGTTACTGCAGTGCCTCCTACGAAGGCGGTGGGGACTTCAAGTACCTGCGCATGTTCTACATGTGGAAATTCCTGTTAAAGAAGACCAAGCACCTTCCTGTTCTCTGTGTCATGAAAATTCACTTTTTAAAGCGGAGCCTTTCTTTGCTAGGGTCCTGTGAGACTGGACTTGATCTCCTTGCTGGTTCCAATGCACTTTTCCTACTCGCGCGCTTGTGTTTGCCCGGTACCTTGTACTGGTGGTGGCTGCATCCAATCCGCCGGGCGACGGAGGGCCTTTCCCCTTCCCAAGGGCTGTCTGAGCGCCGGGAACTCTGCGCCGGTGTTCGGAGCCCCCCCGACCCCTACGGGCCGGAGCCGCCCGGACGGTCCCGCTGCGGGGCGAGGCAGGGGGCGCGAGGCCGCGGCAGGCGCCGGTCACGTGCGGCC